ACATTCACCTGTTTCTCAGACTCGGAGAAACAGGTCCTTCAGTTTTTTCCTGAACTCTCTACGCATAAGACAGTAAATAAGTGGGTTTAAACAGCTGTTCGCGTGCGCCAGGCACACAGTCACAGGAAACACATAGGTATGAACGATATAGTACGACTTATCCCAGTACACAGCGTTGAATTTCACCAGCACGCCCCAAAAAGTTATGGCATGATTGGGCATCCAGCAGAGGAAGAACGACAAGACCACGATGGTGACGGACTTTGTGACTTGAGTTCTTCGTTTTGAGTTGTTCTTCATACTCCGCTGTCGGATGAGCCTCAACAGCAGCAGGTAACTGATCGAGACTATTGCCATGGGCAAAATAAAAGCGATTAGTATTTTCTGGAGATGATAGACTGCCAACCAATACTGTCCGTCGGGGAACCGCAATAAACAAAGTTTTTCGCCGGCCACGTTAGTGACTGTGGAGAAGATGGATGTTGGCGCGGTGGCTACGATGGCCAGGGACCACAGGACGACACTGACCCACCTGATGGAGCAGCTGGTCTGTCTGTTGCGGTCCTTCAGAGCTGAAGCCACTGACCAGTACCGTGTGATGCTCATCGCGGTCAGGAAGAAGACGCTCGCGTACATGTTCATCACGGTCACCGACAGGATGATCTTACACATGGCGTCTCCAAACGGCCAGCTGAAGTCCAACGCCATGTCCACGGCCCAGAAAGGCAAAATCAACACGAACTGAAAATCCGTTACTGCCAAATTGAGGATAAAAAAGTTTATTTTGGATATGCGTCTCTCTTGTCTCACGCGAATAAAGAAGAACACCAACAGGTTCCCAATCAGACCTACGACGCAAACCACAGAGTAGGTGATGGAGATCATGCATCTCAGTACCGGACTCCCATCGGCGGTCACATCAATGTCTTCCAGGCTTTTAAAGCGTTCGCGATCACTGATTGATCTGTTGGTTACACCACTCTGATTACTGTCTCCCATTACATCCAGCGATTTCACAACTTCTTCACAACGACACAACGACAAATAATGTACTTATGTACACTTAGATTCATATAATTATCTATAGATCTATAATTAGTAAACATATGGTTTAATCAGGTTTATTACGTAATTTGAGCCTTTTTAAGTGATAACTGGCAAAACATCACTCATCCTTCAGCACTATGCAGACAAGATCAAGGTGCTCAAACCATTGAGCGCAATGCCGCTGTCGCTAGAATTGATGTAGGGCGCTTTTTAAATGTCCCCGCCCATCCAGAGCAGCGATTCGTCTTCCCGTTTGATTGACAGGACAACGCCAAATAAAACATATACAAAACCTTGGTGAGTCGCCCGCGTTTGCTGTAGATTTTTTTTTTGTTCATAGCATTATAAAATAACATACATTAATGAAAAAATATATAACAGAGTAAAGAAATACTTAACAGTTTAATAGCTTTCCAGTTCATATTAATATTTTGTTATAGCCTATAAATATGATAGGCTATATAATATCATACTTATCCCGACAAATTTAGTTATGTCAGAGTTATTCAACTTGATCTACAGTCGATCGATTTTACCTATAGCACATACTTAATGCCTATATACAGGCATTAAATGGTAATAACATCAGAAGAAGAATCATGACTAAACAGCTGTCAGTACACATTCATTAGTTAGAGGTCTCTGCTCAAGGCAATAGATATGAGAAGTGTCAAACTTGAAGTAGGTAGATCTTGTCATCTTTGTAAGTCTTCACTGCCATCTGCTGTTTACATGTAAATATACACCAGTTTTTCTCTACCACTTCAAGGCTTTGGTTAATTTGCTCAAGTTGACTGGTAGAACATTAGAACATTAATACAGCCTGATACTGAAGGCTTCCAACATGACAGTTGTCACAGGAGCATTATTACATGAGAAAATTGGAGAAATCACTCTTATTTTAGCATTTATTTTAAAGGTAAAAAAGATGTAAAAAGTTCATGGCATTTGAAACACCACGTGTTATCAGAATGGGTGGTGGGCTGAAGAACAAAATTGAGAGAAACCATCACTTATCCACATTTTATGAGCTAGTTGTCTGGACTCTTTATCTGTGGGTTTTATAATTCATAAATGACAACCTAGTGGAGAGAGGTACTTTAAGATAAAGCATAAAATGAACATGTTTTATATATATATATATATATATATATATATCGTCATGCCTAGAGCTGATCCGTGCTGGTCGCTGGGGAAATACATCAACTTCGCGCTGTGGATCGCCGGATCGGCTTTCACCGTGGACCAAATGGAGTCCAGCACAGGTCGTCACATGTGGTTGTCACAAGCCCACCGGTTGCGCCGTTCTCAAGCCTGCCCGCCGCCGCTCACTCAAGCCGCCGGCTCTTTTGGAAGGACACGACTTAGTGCAGTGTAGAGTAGGCTTGTTGTTTGTCATTTCTCCGATCACAAATGCATACATGGTTTTATGTTTACGCGGCGCGATGCAACACAGCGAGTAAAAAGACAGTATAAGTCATTATAATCCGTAATTATGTCCCCACTGGATGCAACAGATGCCTCGTTTATATTGGGTTTTAATGTTTAGCACACCTCGCTTTTCAGACCGATGAGCTTGGCTAAAGGCGGGGTATAGAGGAGAAACAATAATGAACAGTATGTGGAAAATAATGTGTTTTTTAACCTTAAACCGCATAAACACATTTCATTACACCAAATACACAAAATAATGTTCTTTTTAGCAACATCATATGACCCCTTTAAATCTCTGTAAGGCCTGTGTGAATTGAAAATTCAATCCATTCACCTCAAATGGGTTATGTCCATCATACAGTGCGAGTTAAAGCAAGGTAAAATAGCTGAGCTATTCAACACAAACGTGGAGTGTAAAGTCCAAATTCTTAAAATGTTCTATAAGAATTCTAAAACCGTATACACATCAGCTTGGTTTTTTCTTCAAGACAAAAGTCAAAGTTAACTCAATGTATTTTATTACATCTAAATGTCTCTACATAAACATGTAACATTCAATAAGTAAACAATTTCTTTCAATGCATGTAATAAATATTTTTTTCCACTTAGTACTTTATACAAACTGACATTGGTCTACTGTACAGTATGTCTTCCACATCTTAAAAATCTTCTTTTTTTTTCTTCTTTCCATAAAACATGCCACAGAGACACAGAGTGGATGAAATTTAAGGCAGTGAGCAGAGATGTCAGCTTACTGAAATGGAAAATAAAATAAACCTGGACTTTGACACCGAGTCCACTCATAACACAGTTCTGCATCTAAAATATATAAATTAGTTTGTTGTGAAGTTGCGGATCCAACTTTAACACATAAATGCACATCACTGGAACATCCAAGTTTGCACAATGTTTGCCTTGCATCAAGAACAAAAACATGCACACGCTTTCATACACACATTCAAACTCACACAACTTATCCCTTTATCAATCATAAACAAAAATCAACAAATGAATGAAAACTTGTATTGTGTTTTTCATTGAACCTGCTTGTATATATCCCAGGTAACAAATACATAACGCATGAGACAGACACTGAATCAAAAAACAAGAACTGCCCAGATTTACTTGTTAAAATAAAGAGTCAATCATTAACACTGCTAGAGATCTAACAAGTACTCAATTTGGTATTAAGGATTTTGCAATAACAGAATATGTATTTTTGTCTCCATCATTTTTATCTCATTAATTACTTAACCAATTACATTTCAAACCAATCTTAGAGCCAAGAAACAAATCAACTGATAAACATCTAATACTTTCATAAGAAATGTAGGTTAAAAGGAGGTTTAGAGGTCAAAGGAAACAGAGTGAGACTCATCAGTCTATCAAACAACACAAAACGCGAAAGCTAGATCCTGTCACATGCAATTACCCCAGTCCCAAACCCAATTAGGCTTTGAAAGGTCTGGTCAACACACTGAGAGAGCCACACCAGCAAACTCACACACACTCAGATAGCCCGTTTCATTCATTTACTAAAATAAATAAATAAATAAAACACTTCCTAAATAAACCATTTCCATTTTCCAACACATTTTCTTTTTGAACACTATTTTTTTACAATCTTCTGTTCTAATTTTCTTAAATTTAGTTTGAACTAAAAACTGCAATTAATATCCTGTGTTAATCCCAAGCAGCACTTGAAAGAACATCCAAATCTTTTCTCAATAGGATTGTTTGTTTAGAAACACCAAGTGTTTCTGTAACTGATGGTCAGCGTGAAGAGCAGCTTAATATAGGCTAACTGAAGTACAAGAAATAACAGGTCCACTCTTTCACACGCAAAACACACTCACACAAGGCACACGTGACAAAACAGAAGAAATGACGAGTGGCTTTAGGTTTCCTGCACAGTACCAAACACAGATGACCTAAGAGACATCAACTGAATAGAGACCTCAGTCAAACAAACATCTGTGAGTAATTACATGCCAACACCAAGGACATCGTAACCTCATCATCTGCGCCACTGTTGAACCTCCCAACAGAACAATTCAAGAAGAGAGGGACGCAAGGAAGGAAGAAAAAAATGAATGAACAATCAAGCATGGTAGCCACAAAAAAGAGAGTAAATCCTTACTTTCCATACAAGGTGTACATTTAAGTTCACTGAACTCGCAAGCTCTCACTCTAGAAACTTCAACACTAAACAGTGTTCTTTTGGCATTGAGCAAGAAAAAAATGGATGCAAAATTGTTAGAGAATTACATTTTTTTAAACAGTCATGAATTTCATTTCACTTAAGAATCATGAGGTCAGATATTGGCAATCTGTAACAATGCTATTACTTCCAGTTGTTAACCTGAATGTGAAGGAATGCTTCTTAACAGCCCATTTAAATAAAGGGAGAGTTCATCAAAAAATAAAGATTTAGTCATCATTTACTCTCATGTGCCAAATTTCATCTGTGCAACAAAAAAAGAAAGAAAGAAAGAAAGAAAGAAAGATATGAGGGTGTGTAAATGATGACAGAATGTTCATTTTTGGGTGAACTATCCCTTAAAGGCATTATATAAAACAGTCCTGCATGTTTAGGGGATATGGTATGGACTGGCAAAGACAAAAAAAAAGTTTTGCTGGGAAGAGAAAAGAACCAAGAGTCCCACTGACAGTCTGAACGCAGCCATTGTGCCCTATGGAATCAGACAAAATATAGACGACTACAGAATATGATGGGTAAAGGATATAAAAAGTGTTCATATTATGTTAAAGGGGTTGAGACAAAGCTGTGAAGGAAAAAGAGCCTCAGTTTCCCAGGAGATAAAACCCAAAGTAATTTTAGCAATCCAGGGGGGAAAAAACTCTTTCAAGTTTACATATACATTAAATAGCTAGATAGATAGGTATATACAAAAGTAAAACAAAAAATATATTTGTTCTCTGTACACGGCAACAATTATCATCGTTTACAAAAACACCCTTCAGTCATCTTGTATGTCCCCTTTTCTTCCCAATGTTTGGAAGTCTCTTCAGTCAGTTTCCTGTGCGAGGGTTCGGTCCTGGGTCAGTCTAACGAGATGACGTCTGGGATGGGACCGTAGATGGCAGACGTGGGGGCTGATTCGGAGGTGGGGCGGGGGGCGGGTGGATGTCCGAGACTTTCCCGTAGGCTGCTGGAGGACACCAGGCTGCTGCCGGTGCTGCTGCCGTTGACGTTAATGGGAGGGAGGCTGTTGCTTACAGGGGTAGAGGGAGGGTCCAGGAAGAGCTGAGACGAGCCGTATGGGAGAAAACGACTCAGGAGGAGGTCGTGATCTTCAGATGCTGATGCAGCTGCTGCCATCACCATGTTGTAGTGCTGGAGAGACAGCATGAAAAAAGTCAGGCAAAGAGAAGATGGTCGCTAAAGTAGCTATATCAATTTAACAGTAAATTACAGTGGGCCAAGAAACGTTTGGGTTGTGTTACCTGATGATTCTCTTCTTGTAAAAAAGGAAAAAAGCTGAGATCTGTAAGAGGTAATGGAGACAAATCAGCACAAACATTGAAGCTTAAATAGGCACATTTTCCACATTAAACAGGTTCCTAAAGATGTTTGGGTGCTGTACCTGACAGGTCACCGGGCGTAGAGTAGTAGTGGCGGTAGTCCTGAATAAGGGGAGGAGGTGGGGGAATGTAACTGGTATCCACCTGAGGCATGCTGGGAGTCCGACTCACAGGAGATGCTTGTCTGTGGAGATTTAGTACCCTATGAATGTGCCAACAAACAAGCTAGCTTGAGTAAAACATTTCTGCAAAACCCACACATAGAAAGTTATTTGTGCATATTTAAGAAGCTGAAAATAATTTGTTTGAGAAAATTGTTTCTACTGAAATGATACTGAAATGTACCCATTATCCATCTGAGGAGAGATACTAGATAGCGAGGGGCAGCTTTTCTTCTGAGGGGGTTCTTCATCTTCCTCTTCCTCAGACGAGCTGTCAAGAGTCAAATCAATCACCTCCACTTTTTTGCTGTTTCCTCCACTGTTGCCATTTGTTTGAGAGTTCTGCTCCAACACTGACGTACGACATCCGCCTGATTATGCATACAAACATACACAGCAGATTGTAAACCAAATAATTTCAGGGTGTATGATTTTTATGTAACAATGTAACAGTACTGTCACTTTTGATCAATTTGTTTCATTCTTGCTGAAAAAAATCATTAATTTCTTTCACAGAAAAACAAAACAAAAACAAACTTTTGTACTGTTGTGTATATTCAGAGGTAGCCTGTCAATTATTGTGTCAAGTATGGCTTTACAAGAAAGGTTTGCTGATTTTTTTTAATCAAAATACAATGCTGTGCAAAATTACCAGCACTGTATTAGAGGTTTTAAGATGTCTTAGACCAATTCTCAATTTTCAAAACGCCTCCTGCAACAGTTCCTCAACAATATGAGGAGATAATCTGCAGTAACTGGGTCTGACCATCAATGCCATTGTATGAAGCCGACACCTCTTGCACTTCCTTTTTCGACCTCATGGGGGCCCAGCTACCGTCTTCTTTGAACTGGATTTCATCACAATCTAAACAGCTGTTCAGAATCTCCATAAACAACCTAAGTATGGACAGAGAAATGGGTAGGAAAAGGAAGAAATGTGAGTGTGTGAGCGTGAGAATGTGAATTTTCTCATTTCTCATTTCTCATAGGTATCATCTACTCTCTGGAAAAGAGCTGGGAAAACTTCATGCAAAATCAAAATTATATTAGAAAAATAAAGATGTGAATTTATATATATATATATATATATATATTCATATATATTCATTTATTCATAAATACAGTAAAAACAAGTAAATATTATTGAAATAACTGTTTTCTATTTGAATATATTTTGAAATGCTGCCCGACACGGAATCATTAGCCGCATCTTTCCCAGCTGCGCAACACAAGCAAAAGCACAGACAATCATGAAAGAATTAACACACACACACACACACAGACATCCCACATAGAAAAATCCAGGTAAACTCACACACACACAGATGTAGGTTTGGAGACAGATCAATCAATGAAAAGAGCAAGAAGAGACACATGAAAAAAACTTAGATAATCATGGCAGCATACAACTGACATTAACCAGCCTAACTGTTTTAGACAGATTTATGACTCATAATATATAAAACGCTCTGAATCTGATTTCATTTTGAGTTTAAAATAAAAAACGTCAGTCTATGCTTTGTGTGATCTTTAACTACTCTGCAACACTAGAATCTTAAACAATCTGGCTCTCATAAGGTCCTATAGCTGGTTGCAACAAAGCTGTCAAGTGGGGGAAAAAACCCTTAGTGATAATTTGTTTAGAAATGTAATTGGATTTTCTTAGCTTAAGAGGTTTGTTGCAGCTGGTCCTTGGGCTTAAACTAACATGAAGACCAAAAATACATCCAAAAATATGCATTATTGTGTGTGTGTGTGTGTGTGTGTGTGTGTGTGTTTGACTGAGTTATTGGACAAATAAGATGCTTACCGGACATAATAATGAAACTCTTAGGCTGGTGGTTGCTATTTCACTGTCAGGGTCTGCTGTTAACTTTTCCTTTACTGCAGGACATGAGCATAAACACACATTAGCAGCTGAAAACACACAGAGATCTTTACAACTGCATTGTATTAATAAATGACTTCGAGTTATTAATACAACTGGAGAAGTGAAAGAACAGCATGGTCACATTTCACCTGGCAATAATAAAGGACTAAACACATTCACACCTACACTACCGTTCAGAAGGTTGGGTTCAGTAAGATTTTTATTTCTTTTTGAATTAAATGAATATTTGTATTCAGTATGGATACATTAAATTGATGTAAAGTCACAGTAGCGACTTTTATAACGTTAAAAAAAGATTTCTGTTCTGAAACTTCAACAAAGAATTCATCAAAGAATGCTGAAATGTTTTACAATCTCCACAACATATTAAGGAGCACAGGCACAATTGTTTTCAACATTAACTATAAGAAGAAATGCTTCTTGAGCACTAAATCAGCACATAAGAATGATTTCTGAAGGATCATGTGACACTGAAGTCTGGAGTAATGGCTGTGGCAGCCTTGGTGAGCATTAGAGACATTTCAAAAACAACAACTACAACAATCTTACCAATCCCAAACTTTAGAACAGTAGTGTATATTTATTATATGGGTTATCGCTGGAAAAATTTTATATTCACAGCCCTAATCTTCAACAGTCACCACTGTTACACTTTAAAATATTTCCAAAACACTTGTTTGTATTTCTCAATTCATGTGAATGAATATTAGTGCTTCAGAATTTGGTTGAGCTGCCTCAGGCTGGTGTGCTGTAGCTTGTTTACAACAGGGGCATCAGGCCATTCTTTCAGAATTAACAAGCCTCTTCAGACAGTTTATAGGTTGCTACATAAAATCTGAAAGTATCATGAAAAGTTTGAAGGGCAGACAAGAACAAAGAGCAATCTGTGTAGAGCGGAACTGTGATGTTGCATTTCTGTCAGTGATTAGATCAATCCTAGATGAACTCACTTCACACTACGCTATATAGAATAAAAGATATATATACACAATCAAGCACTACTTAGTCTTAATAGCCTTAAGAAAATGACTATTGACTGGAGTCTATGGAGCATAATTTTTAAGGTTTTAAATTGGATAAAATAAGACGCCAACAAACTTTTAGTCCACAGTATAGTTTATCTTTGCCATGAAGAAGGAACAAGAGGACATAGAGACTGTTTCTGTCTGAATTTAACTAGCAATAAAAACCTCCATCTTCAATGCCATCTTTAGATTGGATAACGGGGAAAATTAAAACTTAACAGTCACTTCACTTATCTGTTCAGTCACTGAAGTTTTCATTTAGCAACTTGTTCAAACACAGAGGTTTCAAAATTCGCATCTGAGGCTTCACTGCATGTAACATTTTAGAACTAAACGTAAAAACCTCTGCAAGTAATGTTAAACACAGGCCTACACTACTGTTCAAAGGTTTGGGGTCGGTAAGATCTTTTTACTGTTTATGACAGATGTCTCATGCTCACCAAGGCTGCATTTATTTGATCAGAAATGCAGTAAAAACAGTAATACTGTGAAACATTATTACAATTTAAAATAACTGGTTAAATATATTTTCAAATATTGTTTACATTTTGTTTTTCAGGGTTGATGAATAAAAAGTTCAAAAGAAAAGCATTTATTTGAAACAGTAGTCTTTACTTTACTTTTGATTTAATGCATCCTTGCCGAAGTAAAGTTCTTCAACAGGAAATAACAGTAGTGTAAATCAAAACTGTAAATCTGCTTTTCTAAAAACCCAATGGAAATTCCAGAGGAAACCCATAGCTCAAAATGCTAATTTTCTATAGGTTTTAGGACAACAAACAGAACATCTCTATTTCTATGGAGAATGTGCTTACTGAGTGCTCTGGAGTGATCTGGATTTCTGATGCCTTTAGCCCGCAGCCTCTGCAATAGCATTGTAGATGACAGCTGTTTGACCAGGTACACTGCCATAGAGTAACTCTGAGAAAACAATCCAACAGAAGATACTTCACTAGAGGCACAGTGCCATCCCATACCTCAATCCAAGCAACATTTTATAACATAGTAACATCTTCATAAAACAGCATGGAGTCTATATTTTAATGTAAGTTAACATGTGAAATATGTAATAATTTATGGAATAACGTATTAACTGTAACATCACAGTGAGATAATGCAATACTAGTGCTAGAATATAACAGAGTGGGAAAACCTACTGCAGTGAAGAAGCTTCTTCTAGGCATCATTTATTTATATTTTCAGGTCAGATCTTACATCACCGTTTTATCAGTGCCATATGAACAGGTTCTATAATAAAGAGCCCTTTAGATTCAGTGAGAAGGTACAGCAAGAGTGAAAAATGTAAGGAATCTACCACAGAGAGTGCCAGGATTGCTTGCCAAGGCAAGTTACACGATAAGGAATGACATCATTCATGAAGCTGAATATTATATGTAGGTGCAGTAATGTTTTATGCACAAGAAGATGAATATGTTAGCTTATAAGATATAGGGATCTGTGGATTAATTAATGAACTCCTGTCTGCTTACAGTAGTCTCAAAGTAAACAGTGACCTTTTTTTTGTTTTTTTTCCCCAAAATCTAGATTCTTCTTCTTAATATGCATTAACTGCTAATGGACAAGAGCCTTCATCCATCACAAATGCATTTCTAGAACATATCAAAGGTAAATGAGCATTCACTAAGATCACAAATGATTTCAGATAATGTATTAAACTGCACTGAAATATTTACGTTTAGCTTAGACCACAACACACAGAATAGACATAAAGCATTTAAATTACTAATATGCAAGTTAACTGTTTTTGTTTGATGTCATATCCATCAATACTCTACAAATAGCCTTTTTGTTTTTCTGAAAAATGACTGAAATAAGGGCATCAGAGATATTTCTTTTTAGCTGTGCCTCAAAACGTCACTCCGAGAAAATACTAAAATACTGCATACATGCTGACCTTTTCACACAAACTGCATATAGCCGATGCTATAATTGGATGTCATGTGACTGCAAATGGCTGCAAGACATGTATAGGGTGCTAAAAATAAATTTTGATTTCAACAAGAGTTTCTGTAATAGGCTTGCTTGATTTGATTAGACCACAACTTACTTTCCATCTTTTCCCATAAAAAGTTGTAGAACCATTATTAAACAAGTGTTGCAGTACTTGTATTCACAAATTGGGAGAGGGAGGGATTACAATTAATTTACCCGTCCAATTTCTGAGGTCCAGGACACTACAATGGTGTTGGGGACAGTTGTGGAAAGTTTGACCAATGAGGTAATGTTGATGGGTCTGCTGGGCCTCTTTGGTTCCACGCCATTTTTGGTAGGAGGCAGATATCCCTGGTGAAAAACAACGAATGAGGAACTTATATGTTTTATTCAAATAAAAATATTTAAAAGAAAAAATAAAATTTTCAAACAAACGGCATTGTGAAAATGTAATTTAGTGTAGAGGCCAACAGTGTCTTAACCATGTGTCTCAGATTAGAATGATGGATAGATGGACAAATGGACTGTAGTTTAACTTACTGGGAGATTACACGGTTTCCCATTGACTTTAACACAAAGATTAGGGGGGAAGTGGTCCTCCTGAGGGCAGCTTGTCTCTGATAGACAAAACCTGGATTAAGCAGAAAACAGCATGCTAGTGCTCTGAAGTTTTATACAGTATCATATTTATGCAAAACATTTCAGTGTATTAGAATGAGAATAGCTTACCGTAACTGTACTTGCACCATAAAGTCACATTTGGTCCCCGATATGTCCCTATAAAAGAGAAAGTTGAACTATTCATTTGAGATAATAAATGAGTCCAACATGGCATCACACAATCAGTACCTTATAGAAACTCCTCTTCTTATTTTGGGATTTTGCTTTGTAACATCATTATATAATTTCTGAAGGAAATATTCTAAATAAACAGACTTACATTGAGCTGCTGACTTGTTGGACTTGCTGTGGCGTCAATGCAAATGCAAAACATGTTTCCTGAAACCTCTGGCTGTTATCTGAAGCTGCAGAGAGAAAAAGATCCAAAGAAAAATAACTACAATGAAAAAACCTTACATAAAACAAATCAATTTCCATAGCTTACATTTAATGCTTACTGTGAACAAAACCCAACAAAACTGTACATGACTTTGAGCTGAGTGAAAATTTCATAGGTTTGTGGGCTCTGAAAAATCTGAACAAGTTTAAATATGCAAAGTATTTCAAACAATCCTAATTATTTAGATAAAGTCTTTTTAATGTTTCATTCTCAATAGCAAAGCAAGATTTTTATCCGCATAATTCCACCCATATGTCAGGGGGGTACAATCAAAGCTCGAAGAGTAATATTACAGACTTCTCCCCCCACTCTGATCCATGTCCAGCTTAAATAACATCAGTGTTCCTTCAAAACAACTTTTTCTGGGAATGCTCATATCATTCCCACTCAGTTCATTTCCATTGTCATCGAAGGGAGAAACTCAAGCTGTTTTTTTCCCAAAGGTTCAAGGACAAGGTAAACAATGTGTCAAAAACCATTTTGGTTACAGGCGGCCCTCTGAAACAGTTGCAATGACGGAGAGCATGTTTGAAAACTAACTATTATGTGAGGATTGTTATTGATTGAAAAAAATTGTTGTTGCGCTACCAGATTCAGCCCTGCAACAACTGTGCTGTTAATTACATTCAGTAACAATAAGACTGTTATAATAACAGTCACAGATCTGCATAAGCTTCAAGTCCATTTAGAAATAACATTTAGTTCAGTTGATTTTATTTTGTTTTTGTTCCACCGTCTTTAGTTTAGTTCTAGTTTTTCATTTATTTTACAGATTGCATTTCAGCTTAAAATAATGTTTTTAAACTAGGGGTGTCGCAATATACTGGTAACCTTGACGATATCCTTGATATTTAAAAAAATAAATATTGATATTATTATTATATTAACATTGTTGCGTTGACACTAGTTGCGGGGTATTGCACTTTAACCTTCATAAAATGGAAAAAAGAAGACAACAATGACAAAGTGTGTAGCTTCTACTGCACAAAGTCATGTCATCAGAGATGATGGACAAAAGAGATACTCTACCTACACCCGAAAAAAAATTTCTTGCCAGTGTGGAAACTTTTTCTGGAAAGATACTCCAATCAGAAGGAAGTGCTGATCAGCAGCAAGTTCTCATTATACACTTTTACTCAGTCATGACAACTCTCAGAAAGATCAGCATAGTAATACACATGGCAATGTTAATAATAAATATGTATAGGTAGATCCCACATTCGATCGCTCCAGACACGTTGACGCGTCCACCATCTTGCAATGGTCAGTGTTGTCACTCACAATACAAATCAATGAGTTTTGTCAATCAATGAGATTCCACAACATTGCACAGCCTGTGGTTGTAAAAACTGCCAAAATTTAAATTCTCAAAGAAATTGGATAAACTTTCACATGTAAGAATGTGTTGGTTTGTGTTTTTAATATGTATTAACTCAATTTTAAAGCTTTTTAAACTATAGTAACTTTTTAAAGTAGTGTTAGCTAATGGTTTCGTCTTCTTGTATTGTGTTAAGCAAAATCATCTGCTGAAGTCTATTGCAGATAAAAATTTGCATACAAGCGTACTGTATAACTACGGTTGCAGACACACAGGCAACAAGTCATAGAAACAGCTGCTAATAGGGCACCTACCTATACATATCTATGATGTTAATGTATTTGGTCTTGGCGGAATAGATCTGCTACACTGCTGCAGCAGAGCAAGTACAGAGATTTGCTACTGCCAATACATCCACAGACATGCTGCTGTGAGCATGTAAGAAATACTGCTGCTGCACATATAACTTACGTGAATTTACCCAGTAGTAGATCTATAAAGGTGGAGCTGGGGAAGGTGAAGGGTTTCTAAAATGCACAGCAAACACTGGCCAAGCATTTGAATGTTGAGCACCAAGCTCATTGGCTGCTGTCTGATGCAACAAAAGAGTGATTTAGGACTTGATGGCCTGTGCCATCTAGAGTTCCATCAATGACAGAACCTTGCATTAATGGTTACAAACTGTCTTCTCGGTCTCCCCTACACTTGTATTTTCAGTGTGATTCATTGGCCAAAAAAACAAAACAAAAAAGCAAACACAAAATAAACAAAGTTAAAGATGAATTTGAGTGATAAAATTTTTGTTTTTCCAAAATTTCGATTGATTTGCGATAACACTGTTATTCTGAATTCCTTGGCCACGATAATTGAGTAGTGAAAATCTGGTATCGTGACAGCCCTATTTTAAAGCAGCCGAGAGGTTTCTGAATGAACTGGTAAACATTAGAAACATTAGAAAACCTGACCATGTGAAAAAGGAAGAAAGACTCTCTGCAAGTCAAAACTACTCTGTCATTCAGTAACACCAACTCAGATGTACACTTCTTCACTTTTGCACTCTTACACACAAACATAGATAAAGAATGATCTTACTAATGCAAGTGCTCTCACCTAGAGAAATCTTCTCTAAAATAACATTCACTGCAGCACACTGACACAAACTCAGCAGAGCCAAACATCTTCAAACCAGTCATTTAAATGTCTCTAAGTGCAGAGGTTCAGTTTTTTCATATCATGTAAAACTAACACAAGCCATACACTCACACCCCATTTCCCTCTTGATCTCTCTTGCTCAGCTGGAGTGCTTAGTGACACAACGGATATGTGATATACTTAAAAATAACAAATAATAATACAAATAGATACAAAGCTTAACATTGTTTTTATACAGCGGTTCCACTCATCGAATTTGATTGGCCAAGCTGCATTCCAAGACGTCTGATACAGAGTACAACAGCACTGTAATGTTTATTTGCACTGTCTGTAAGGGTGCTTATCGCTACGCTTGTTTGTGTTTGCGGCGTTCCAGCAGAATGGAACTGAGTGAAATATTTATTCTGAATTTACATTGAAAAGTTTTATAAGAAATAAATGTTTCTGTGAAGAGTCTGAATGGTGTACACTCACATGAGATGAATACTGTATTTATGATAGTTTTCTATAAAAAGTGTTTTAATTATAGGTCCCCTCTTAATGTATTTTGACATGATGAAATGAAGTCTCCCGCAATGTTTCACTAAAGGTCAGAGAAAATCCCCACGGTCACTGGCTGCACTACTGTAGTATTGTTTGGTGATGCGAAGAGTGAAAATTAGACAACAGAACACACTTATTATTGTGTTTTACCAGCAAAAACAATGGGAGAAGAAGTACCTGTACGACTGAAGAAACAGAAAAGGACTGAAGCAAGAAGACAGAAAGACTGACAAAAGACAAAAACAAACGAGCGTAAACATCGGTACGGAATACAGAAGGTGAAAAGATGTTATGAAGGAGAAAATAGTGATAGTAGTTATGCCTAAGTTGCTTCTTTTTAGTTGGAAAGGTAAGGGAATGACGACCTTGCTGATGAACCATGTCGACAGATGGCAGTGCAGCATCTAACACCATTAACGTACAGAAGAACAGCGATGGGAATGCTAGCTAAAGCATTACTGAATGTGCCTTTAAGTACTACAGCACTCTTGCTTGCATAATATCTTCTTAGCAGAAAGCTTGAAAGTAGATTTGTTAATGAGACATTCGATTCGCAGGTGGTATCATGTTGTTATTTTGACGAAGGTCATCATGTAAACACACATCTTCAAAAATGATACAAAATGTCTTGATTTCCTGCTTCTTTCTGAAAGTGTTTTTCAGGTTGTTACTCTTTCACTTTCTCGACACTTGCTGCATGCTCTCCCCCTCCCGGCTGCTTTCATTCTCGATTTGTTTTATTTTCTCCATTGCCTTCATTTGTCTTTTCCCTTCTCTCACACGTACAATACATCATCCTGTTGACAGCTCTATTGACTTTTCTCTATTTCATCAGCATACACCAAAAAGAGAGAGCGTTCTCTGAATATGAGTGTGTGAGGCATCGTTATGGAGCTAATTACTTTCCATTTAACTATGAATATTGACCAGGGCCGTGCTGATGAAAGGCCAAACAGGTGCCACTATACACCCACCTACCCATTTTCACAGGCCATACCTTCCTCTGGCCCTCTCTTTCCTGCTTTGCTTGTATTCAGTCTCTTGTTCTCTCCCACACTCTTGTTCTCTCCTCTCGCTTTCCTTAACATGAAACAGCAGGGGTGCAATTAGACCTGGAGAATCGACTCAACGACACATAATTAGCCTGATCTCTATTCTCACAATTAACACTGGGGAGGTAAAAGACGAGAAAGCTAGAGAAAGAGAAAGACGGGCAAAGGAGAGACAGAGAAAATAACGGTGTTGAGATGGAGAGAAACAAAGGGAGATTGACGGGGAGAGGCAGACAGGAACATATGAGAGAGGGAGAGACAGATCGAGAGAGAGCGCAAGCACAATTTTCCTCCCCCATGTCTAATCTAAAAATAGCACAGCAGTCTTTATCATCTGATTTGCTTCAACAGTTGGATGCAAACTGGACGTGAAGGTCTGTGTGTTACAGTTTGTTTCTGACAAACCTCCCCCTTTATCTGCACGCACCTAATTAACACAGATATAAATCCTGCTCTGTACACTCTAAAAAATGCTGGGTTAAATTCAACCCAGTGCTGGGTAAAATAGGGACAAACCCAGCAATTGGGCTGGTTTGCCCCAGCGGTTGGGGTAAATGTTTAACCCAACCTCCTGGGTAGTAACCCAACCTTTTGGGTCAAAACAACCCAATTGCAAGGTTTGTCCCTATTTTACCCAGCACTGGGTTGTATTTAACCCAGCATTTTTTTAGAGTGTAGCCATGTGCGAGGGCAACAGTAAGAGTGTACCTTTCTTAGCATCCGATTATAAATGTGAAGTCAAACCAAAAACCCAAAGATATGCATGTTTTTATGTATGACAAAAAGCTGTTTATTCTAACAATAACAACTCACACTTTCTCATTTGTAAAGTCAATTGTTGCAGCATTTAGATTAGAATGGGCTAAAAAAGCATTGTATTTTCTCTTTCACAGGAGGGTG